TAATTTAAACAAATCTCTTCTACAAATATTACGTAGAATTAAAGGTTACGATTCTGGATAATTCAATTATAAATATATAAATGTTTCTATTCACTGATCAGGTGATTAAACATATAAACGTTTCCCAACATCATGGATGACAATGTTCAAAAATGTATATATATCGACTACTGTTTTGCTTTATACTTCAGAGGTAATTTATCCGAAAATACTGAAACTTTCACAAAAAATTTGATGCGTATTCATAAAGAGGGTACCACACTAACTTTGAGAACAATAAAGTTACATTCAGGAGAATTTTTCGTACCAACATTGTTACCTTCTTGAACTCAACGCCGAATTTTCAGAGAACGTCAATACATAATCAACGGTGTACAGTGTTCCACACTCTTTCGTTACCTTCATCGCTACGTTCCATTAGAGTGAAAGCTTCCATTTTTGCCGTTGAAGCTCTGAAGCACATAATTTTTTACGACGTGCAAACGCATGACTTTTCATTAAGCGAGTCCTACGTAACTAGAACGAATGAAATTTTTATCGTATAAGACGCGGTGCATTAACACATCTCAGTTGAATTACTATCACTTTCCTGAGACGTACCAGCTATCAGAAGCTTGGAGAATTTTCCCTTGTCGGTACCGCGGTGGCGCAAAAGTTGAAAATCTTTTAAGGGTCCTTGCAGTTTATTTAGGTCAAGACTACCGGACGTAAAGTTCTCCTGGAGAATTGTTGCGACGTTTCTACGGCATTGCAGCTGGCGTTATCAAGAGTCCGAGGATTCCATAGCGTTTGTAGCGTCCAGTGGCGTTCAAATGCGTCCGGTAGCGATCTCAGGCTCCAAATGAGGCTGGGGTCTGCGATGCCAGTGTAGCGTCGAAGTCATTTTCCAAATGTCACGGCTTACATCCGGAAGCCTGGAACTGCGGCATTAACTGCAAGAACCCCCAGTCGTGAAACCTTTGAGAGTCCCATTCAACCACGCTAACGCTTCTCATTTTCCTTAAACGGAGTCACGGGAAACTAAACACTCCGCGGAATTAATCAAACGAGGAGTTCAATTACCGCGACGAACGCACTGCGATACTATGCATATATGTTTAATTATAATTCGGTAGCTGTAATAATACATAGTAATGCATAATTGGAATTGGTCGTTTCTGCATATGAGCTTTTCCTGACTGTGACGATGGCATTGCAGCTCGTACTATGCACATACGTTTAATTATAATTTAGTGGTTATAGTATCGAATGGTTGCACAAGTTCGTGTCCGATTTAAAAATGAAGTTCAATGTGTTAAATTTCATAGAATATGATTTTACTAATCAATTATGTAGTTGCAATTTTTTTCTACAATCTAATCATCCAATATATAATAATGTATAATTATAATTTATCACTAAAAGTATGATTCTAACTTTAAACTATTTTGTACTTGTGCATGAAGTTTTCCTTATGAGAATGAGTTCAAGTATGACCTCATTACGACTCCTCTTAATTACACGTTACTAGAGGCGCTTTTCAAAATCTTCCAACTGTACGTAATTACTAGACTTGAGATGTTTATGCATTTACGGCAAATGAAAATGTGGGAAAATGTGCGAGGATGTGCACGAACACAAAAAATATATATAAAGGGCATGTTACACTGTTTCGAACATAAGGAATATTTTAAAGTTTAAATCTCAATTCTTTATCTGAGTCTGCATGAACATCCTCAGTCTATCAATTACAAATGGTCCAAACTAGGCCGTTTCTAGATTCATATTCATCTATAAAATCTCAGAAATCCATTACTAACACTAAAAAATACACAAATTTCAATGTTCATTAGCATTCCAAATCCCATCCCATGCATGAGAATGCACTTATGCTTCAAAATTTATGCTAGGATTAAACATTATTGATTAGACAATACATAAACATATATCGCGGTATTTATTTCTTGTATCTTCATCAAAATTTATGAATTTCATTTAAATTCATTTCCGTTGATGCTTGACTTTCAGAATTAATTTTCTTAATTCATCAGTGAAAAGTACTGCCATCCATATATGGCGATCAACATAATAAAAAAAACGAAAGAAAAAAAAACAGTGGCGATGACATCTTTTCATACACCTACATGGAAGTTTTTTCACGTATCAGGGTAGAATTTCCTCCACATAACCGAGCAGCTAAGCCAAGAATACGCGAAGGACCAAAGGGAGGACGAAGAACGTCCTCTGGCGGTAGAAACGCGACCTGTCGTTAAAGCGGAAACACGGGTCTTCCTCGTCGGCGGAAAAACGTTCTTACCTTGGAATCAGACGAGTACAAAAGGCGCCGCTACGATTCCAACATGCCATTAGCCGAAAGAGCCGACGATGTTCGGAGTAATTCTCTGTCACGGTGTTCAGCTAGCGATCGTCGTAACTACGCGCCCCGAGGCGATAATGTTCCCAGGGATAGGGTCTCGGAAGGGATGGCAAGGATAGAGACATTACGCTCGCGAGACTTTAGATAAGAGGCCGAACTCGGTAGCGGTTCGAGAGGCGTACGCGTACACTCGTGGTAGACGTGCATCCAGCGTTCTTTCTCGCTCGTGGATTTTTCCGAGCGTTTCGCAAACGGGCCGTGTGATTTCTCGTAATCGCCGAGTCGATCTTAGTCGCGGGGCTGATTCGCTGATTACCGACCAGACGCTTCACGCTTGGCTTCGCGCAAATAGCTTCCCCGTTCCGTCGTCGACGATCGTTCGTGGTTGACGAACGAGTCGCTTGTAATTTCCAGCCGCTTCGCGGGCTCTGACAGACCTTGGCTACGTTCTCATCCTGGCTCGAGTAACGACCGAAAGATAAACGATCGTTTATACGAGCCTCGTTATGGGCGAATTAACACGGAAATTTTTACGTAAAATGTAGTAGTTTGTGAGGAACAATTTAGGGTTGGGGATTTTTCACTACTTTTAGACCTTGTTCAGGGTGCAAAATTATGTCGAGGAATGTCTATGTACATGTAATAAATTATATAAGAAGAGAAATATTACGGCTAAATTGGTTACTGAAAATTAATACACAGATAAATTACATTTGAATTTTAACATAAACTGTGATAATTTGTGACGAACAATTTAAAGTTTGGGATTTCCTTCTAGGGACATTCTTCTTCAGGGTTTTGAAAAATCATGTTAAAGAATGTCCATATACATGTAATAAATTATATAAGAAGAGGAATATTTAGGCGTAAATTATTTACCCAAAATTAATATACAGGTTGAGTAATATTGCAAAGTTTAGAGTGAACTGAGGGCTATCTATTACATATACATGTAATAAATGGACTGTAGGTTTTATTCAATCGCTTCATCAAAATTATTGAGATATCTATGATACTTACGAAGAAGGAAGTAATTGCGCGCTTTTTGCAGCCAAATTTAAAAGTAACTTTATGCCCACGTACCATTTTATTCTACAGTGTCTTCTTTTTTCAGAAATCAAAAAAGGAATACACAGAGGGTTCAACGGTTCGCACTAAAATTCTTAAAAAAACGTTTCAGAGATATTCAGGATATGGAATCGAGTGATATGAAATAACAAAGACTGGATCAACCCTTCCAGCACAACCCTTTATTTGTCTTGACTGTATAGCTTCGAAACGTCAGGTTCACGCGAAGGGTGGCGGAACGTGAGTGGCAGGAATCGTAATTTAACCGCAGTTTATGGCATTGCTGGCGAAGATCGATATGATTGCAACTGTGCTTCACAGTCCAGGGTGCATAATAACTGAACCGGTGTCGCGTATAAGCACCTTGCTTTTATTTCACGCCCCCGACTATCTTGTGTCATTAGAAAGAGATAATTTTGTACGATACCTTTCTGTCCTTGGAACGGAGGGGTGCGATTCTCCAGGTCGTGTCAGAAAAGCTGAGAAAAATAAACGTGGCATGGTGTCTCAAATTAAAAAAATATTTTATGCTACCAATTTTCCTCTGTAGATTAAGTTTGTTTAAACCATTGCTGGATACGTTTTTGCATGAATGGAAATGACTCCTGTAGAGTTCTGTGGTTAACAGGTTATTATTAAATATACATGCGCGTGGAAGCTATTATGGTACCTACCTAATGAGAAAGTGAGAGTGGTTTCAGTAGCGTGTGTACATGCAACCGCAGTGCATAATAGCATTGTGCCTCGGAAAGTCAATGTTAATGAAAACTTTATGAATTTCACGTGCTTTCAACAGGTGTGTCCATTCTAGTACACTGTATAACGTACATTGTTTGCATAACAAATATTCTTTTTTCCCAACAATTTTCAGTTTGGCGAATTCAGGCTACAATCTCGTTCATGTTCGTTCATTTCACTCGATAGAAGTTAGTTAGTCGCGACGTGTAGGCTGCTGTATATGTTCAAATAAATTACCAGGAACTTGTAAACAGTGTCACGCGAGGAAACGCGTGTTGGGAATGTGTACTTGTGACAGAGAGGCACCTGTTGCACGTGTTCGATCCAGGCTGTCTCGTCGGCAAACCTAATTGCTCGCATGTAGGACTGATATAGTCGTATAGACTTAAACTTACGTAAAATTCTAGGAGGAAAGCCTTCAAGGGCTGTAGCATACGAATATGCAGCTATAGTGCGGGCTTAGGAACCCCGGAGTACCCCAGCTAAGTAGTACGTGTACAAAAGACAAGACTAACCTAAATTGTAATTTACATACAAGAGTTACGTAAACCAAAATCAAGAAGAATAGAAATAATTGTGTTGTGATGTATGGATTCGGTGCAATAATTGAAATGACAGTTGCGCACTTAAAAAAACCAAAGATACTCAAGGAGGAAAAATAAAAAGTTTCAAACAACGAACCAATAACAGGAATAACTTTCGATTTGTTACGTTGTGAATAAAAGTAACAGTCTGAATAAAAGTCCCATCGATTGAAACTGATAAATAGACGCGTGAGTGTTACTTTCAAACGGATAGTTTGTTTTCAAACCAGTAAGTACTTACACAATTTGCCAACTTATGACACAGTGACTTTATTCATAACAATGAAAAATTGAACGTTTTTACCCATCGTGGATCTTTACTCTTCAGTCGAAGTAATTTTACACCAATTAATGGTGATTTAAATAGTTGAAAATAGTCTAAACAAAAATCCACGTCAAAGGCTTCGATACGATGATAAAAGATTCCGAGAAAAGTGGAGTTTTGTACCTGACCAATTGCAATAAAAATTAATTAGCTCAGGTGTCGATTGCACTGTTAAAGTGCGTTAACACGCTCAAGCTATTTGCACAAATCGGCTTGCACAAGTAAATCGTAGCGTGTGAACGCAGGCATGAAGTTTGCGCAAGCCAACAAATTTGGCTTGAGTGAAATCTGTCCTGTAACGTTAGCTTAAATAAGTTACGTTTCGACCGGTACCTGGGTCGAGCTTGGTCACTTTTTCCTCTCTTCCTTACTTAAAATTTGCGCTAAACCTCGATGGACGTCATCATCATAAAATAAGACATGGTATTCCTTACAAGCTAAAAGTTATCGGTATGATTCGATATCATCGCAATAGTATCGATAATAAAATAACATACCGTTGCGAAACCTTCGATCGATGCAAAATAGAACCCAAAGATTGGGTAAGAAACTGGTTCGGTGCACTTTATCATGATGATCAGTAACAATTTTTGTATATATATCGACGTACGGTACCAATTCGTATTGTATCTGCAAAATTCGTTAATAATCAGAACTTCAGCTCCTCTTCCTTCAAAATATATTTTACCAGGTTCTTCTCTATATTTAGACACTCGTCGGCCAAAAATTGTTCGAAAATTTCACGAGATGATTTTCGCGAGCGTTCGCTGCAAATAGTTGATATTTCAATTTTGTTCGTACTCACATTACCGTGACGAGTCTGTTCGCGTAATCCAGCATTAGCTGTACCACGTAGTTCAAATAGAACATGTAACCCAGCTCGGTAATGGAAAACAGCAGAGATATAGCTAATTCCTCTAAATCGTGTGTCAAGCATATTGCTCGGGATAGCTGAAAAGTAAACGAGGCATTTTCAAATAAACATATCGAACGTGTAACCTACAAGAACGATTGTTTATACTGACAAAAAAGTCCTCCTATTTAGTGGTTTACGAAAATCATTGGCTACTCACGCGAAAGAAATTAACGCTTAAGGAGATGGTACCAAATACAAGGATAAAAGTATACGAGGCATCTAATCTCATGTTCATCTCACGGACAAACCTTTACGAACAGATAAGATTAATCCTGTGAAAAGTATTAAGTGACGTGGATGCGGTTAACAAAACAGGTGCGACGTGTTAGCGTGAAATGAGAAATCACTCGATCGCTTTGAACATCGAACGATAAACATTTTTAGGGAATTGAACGTCTTGAGTGATAGCAAATAATTAATAGGAAATGTCGTTACGAAGATACTGACTTTGACGCCTTTTCATGAGCGAGTACCGCATCTCTCAAACACATCTTACTGGTATTATCCGTATGATCTTGGGAAATGGTTGGCAAAGCAGATCCATAGGTGACCGCTTCTTCGATATGGTAACTGTAAATTGCATTATAAAATTCTTACTATTCGAGAGATCACAAAGTGTGTGGGTTGAAAAGGGTTGAAGTTTGGAACAACTTCAAGTGAGACAATTATTCCTTGGCCTTGACAATGGCGTGCATCAAGGAGAGAAATACGTTAAACTGCGATCTTCGAGGATCCTTTGATGACTAAGGACCTCGTGGCCATTCATGGACGAAGGATGACCGTGGATGACCACCGTTGACCTCTGACCACTTACTGACCCCTGATTAACCACTGCCCACTGGCCAGTGATGACTAGCATACCCCAGCACTTCGACAGATTATTCATTTATTTTATTCATCAGTCGCACCGTTGAAAAATAATTGTTAGTCGATTTCTTATTATTTCATCGATTCAATTGTTTCTTTCATTTAAATCGGAATTTTCAAGCTCGAATACTTCCCTTGTTTGACACTTTCTTTAAAAAATTTCTTTACACGTGCACTTTGCAAATTTCGCACTGTAAATTTCTTAAACGCTTCTTCGAACATTAAGAGATAATTATCTCACTGGAAATTGTTTCGAACACGAACTTCCCCCACTGTTCTTTAACGGTGTTGTCATTCTCGATAAGGTGATATTTTTCAAAAATCGTTTTAACGAATTTCCGGCAAAAATCGTCCCGTCGTCAAAGAATCAACGCGCTCTGTGAGAGCGCGTCGAGTAATAGGTCCGCTTTACCTAGCGACTTCGAATAAGCTGGCGGCGTGATGCATCCACATGATGAACAACGTCTCCGTGGCCACGAATATGGACGCACATATGAACAATGATAAATTCTGATGCAACACGATTAGGTAAAGGTATTTATCTTGGTCGATTAAATATTCTGTCATTATCGGGAAATAGTTTATTCGAGTACCGTTCTCTGCTGCCTTCGTGTTTAGAATGAAGGATGCGAGGTGACATATCGTCACGATACACGCTGACGGATAGATAAATGCTGCAACATCGGTATTATCGTGGTATTAAAAATGTACATGGAACGTATTATAAATATATACGGAATTCAATTTCTTCCTTACACGCGTACATCGTTGCATAATGCTTTGCCGATCCGGCTCGATTCTGAATGATCTGGAATATCTCCGCGCGTTTGGTGCTCCAATCGTATCTTATTTCTTCCATAAGTTCCTTAATCTAGATTTCCAATCGTCTTTACATAGTGTTTATCACGCGTAAACATAACTGAGAATTTTTGCAACTCACTGTATTGGCATGATACCAAAACGTGTTAAACTTTACGACGGCGCACGCGCACATTAATATAGGCGGTAGATTTTTTAATAGAAGAGACAACGAGAACTCTTTTGTCTTGAAAGCCAACAACTGAAAGAAGCGTTAGATTTCGTACCAGCATCGAATTTTGTTGGGTTTATTTAGATCGGAGTCTTCTGGGTGGCAATGGAATTATTTTACGTTTAACTACAGTGGATGCTTGATATAGAAATGCTCATTTTTGTAACATTTGGAGGATTATATGTTTTCAAATTTATATACTTCGTCCCACGAAAGAAAATTGCATATGTAATATAAAATTTAAAAATACATTCAACAGTATATCGTATACTCATTTCAAGGATTATTTTCCATAATCGAAATATGAAATTATAGGTACGCTCCTGGAAGTCCATAAAGTGCATTTCCTTTCAAACAATATTACGAGTCACATTCACGAAGTAAACAAAAATTTAATTCGTTGTAAATTCTTCACATAGTTCAGTCTGATACTTCATAATATTGAAGCATTTATAGTCTGGAAAAATTAATATCTATAATTACAGTTAATAACACATTAATAACACCTTAAAACTCTCATTTCTTCAATGATAATTTAATCCTCTTTAACGATGAAATTATTATAATTGCGATTAGAAGATGGATACCTCGTGAGAATTAAATACACAAACTGGTTTATGAATTCATGATTCCATAATTTTAATATTTGAATTAGAAATTGAACTGAGAAAACACGTTAAAGAAAGGACGAAATAAAATGAAATAATTGAGAAATAATAAATAGAATGAATGATACATGTACCATAAATCAGAAAACATCTTAAAAGTCTGCACCAGAATTAAATGTAAAAAAAGTATGAAAAAACCAAACATGTCCAATAAATTAGAAAAACAGATCGTACCTGGGCGATTATGAAATAGTAGAAGAAGATACAGACAAAGGCAATCTGCAGTCGACGAAGATTCGCATTCTGGTACGGCCAGAGTCCTACGATCGACATGAGAAATACGGTCAGCTTGTAATACGTCTCTAGTCTACCCATCGTTTTCAGTGGTTTCAACGCAACTGACACCAAGGTGTCTATCCACCTCAGGCGCCATCCCCTCCCTCAAAAAGCAACCTTCCCTATTGAAATGATTTTCTTCGAAATACAGTGAAGATTCGCGAATCGGCGCTAAAACGAATGACGGTGTCTATAATTGCCTCGTTACTTATTCATCTATAAATACATGGTAGAGGAAGATGAACCGATCGATATTCTCCCACACTGGCAATGTATTCACGTGCTATTAAGAAAATGACACGTTTCGAAAAAAGAGGAAACGTGCATTTAAGAATCTTTACCGTACTTGAGTATAATTCATTGATCCGGAAATTTCCGTCTCTTCGACATGCAACGTGGACACTCTGGCAGCGTCTTTAGTGTCTATTGCCTCGTTGGGGCAGAAGGAAGTCGAAGGAATTTTTTTTACTCGAGTTTAAATACATCGAAGGCTTTGGCGTTCGGGGACGAAATTGAGCTTCTGATATTCCTATTGTGTTTTTGAGCACAGACCATTTCAAATATCTGACTGAAAATTGGTAGTTTCATTAGCAGACGATGCCTTCGAGAGTTTAGAGGTAAATTTTTGAACAAGTTACCAGTCAGTGTCAGTGTTTTTTTTTTATCAGTGATATTATTAAGTCAGTCGTGAGATTTATTAAAATAATAGGTATGTCAATGAAATTATTTGATTATAAAAACAATGCCGTGGAACCTTCAGCCTAATAAATACCAATAATAATAAGTAAAAGTTTCTGGGAAAGTTCTTCAGGCTTTTAAGGGTCTGATGCTTTCCAAAGCGCACCATTAATAACTCTTTCATATACTAAGAAATAATGTTACTCTTTATTCAATGTTATATGTTCTGAAATACATAAAAATCTATGACCAGTGTGTTTTTTAGGATTCATGAATTGCTACATATGATGTAGAACGTTGTCGATCGTCCGAGCAGTCCAGAATTTATCATACTTCGTGTCAATGAAAATTCTCCAGCATATGCAGGAAAACGCTAATTGCATTGAGCAAAGGACCTGTCGAAAATTTTGCTTTAGTTAGAGAAGAGTATAATGAGTGGAACGAGCATAGAAGTCTACTTTAATTAAATTGCAGTGGAAAATTTTAATTTATATTTCACAAATTTCATAAAACATTGTAAATAATAGCACCAGACTGCATTATGGCCGATATTCTCAGGGACATTATCTAATGAAATAAAAATAATGCCCTGCAATATTTACGAGATGTCTATACTACTTCCACACTATATTTACACCAACAGGGAAATGAAAAAAAAGTGTTTTCCTTACTTACTAACAGATTACTACTTATTCCGTGGCTATTCATTATTTGGATCAGCAAAATTTGTATTAATATTCCATGGATGAAATCATCATGAAATAAGATACTGTGTTCTTTACAAACTGTAAACGTAATTATCACTATAGAACTGTTCTTAGGGTGACAATATGGGAAACGTGATACAAATTTGATCACAGACTAACGTACCTTTGAAAAACCTTCGATAGATGCACAGTAAAAGCCACACAAAGTAGTATCAATGGGATTGCTGCACCTCATCATCATGATCAACAACAATTTTTGTATACGTATCGATGTTTTGTACCAATTGGTGTTGTATCTTTAAATTCGCCGAAATCGCTCTTAGACTGTAACATTTCAATTACCCGCCCAACGTGTTTATTTGCTCGTCACTTGATTAGTAAACCAAGGATGTTTATGTAAATTCGTATATTGGCATATACAGAAAAAGAATTGAAACTCAAATGAAACCATGTCATATCTTCTAAATGGTGCAACAAATACATTATTCTCAATATTATATATATTTTCATTCATCATAAATACATAAAAATCCGCAGTGTACCGATAACAATATAAAACATTTTCCGAGACGAGTTTTCTCAGGGTTAATTAAAATACTTTGTCGGCGTAAACGAGTGCTTTATGCTTACATTATCATGATAACGCTATCAGCGAAATCGATTAGTACTTGTGTCAAGTAGTTCAAGTAAAACAGATAAACTAGTTGACTAATGGAAAACAGCAGAGACATTATCAATTCTTCGATATCGTGCGTCAAGCATACCGCTTGAGATATCTGAAAACTTAAGCGTGTTTAATTAAAAATTTAAAGAGTGTCACCCAAGGATTTGTTTCTTTTCTATTACCGATCTAGTTTTCTTAGCTTACCGGTTAACAATGAAAATGAGCCACTTACACGATAGAAATTAATTGCTAAGGAGATGATGGCACATACAAGGAGAAAGAAATACGAGCCTTCAAACCTATCTTTCAAATCTTGGGCAAACCTTTACGAAAAAATTAGATTAATCGACTGGAAAGTAATAAATGTGCTGCGGTATTTAGTAAGATTGATGCAAGGCGATAACAGACAGTGAAACCCCCCTACCCAATCACATCGATTATCGAGAAAAATAATGTCCCATTTTAATCCTTCTAATTGTAGCCTTAATGTTTCATTGGAAACAATTGTCATTATAAAACATTTGTTTCTGTACTCAATGGTTTGAAATGTAAGCGCGTGGAAAGATGGAATGGTGAGGTGCTTCGCGTGTAAAAGCAAACATATAATTAACACGTAAATGTGATATCATCGAGCAAATACTGACTTTGTCGCCTTCCTATGCGCAATTACAGCGCTTATTAAAGACCTTTTACTGTTAAAATTGACCAGCTCTTGAGAATCGTTCTGCTGAACAGATCCCTTGGATACTGCTTCTTGGATATGGTAACTGTAAATTACAGCAAGAAGTTCATTTACATATCCGCTGTGATTTGAGTAATTCTTTAGTCGATTGAGGTGACAGTTCTTCTCTTGATTGCAATTTACAATAGCAAGAACTGGAAATGGGGAATAACTGAGACGATTCTGAACAACAATTTCCTTTGCAAAAATGTCGGATGGTGCTTCGTTTGAGAAAACCTTCCTTGATCAGC